CTTCAACGACGCCTTCCAAGTCAGGTGATTTAAGGGCGCCGACTGAAATAATGACACTTGAGCGAGGCGGAATGGGAACTTGTTCTTCCAGCACATTCAAGGCATGGTGTCCTGACGGCGTGCGCAGTGGTAGTGCTTCTTCTGTGGTTAACGTTATCGACTTTGTTTTTAGGTTGATGACAGCACCATGGAGGCATAAGAAGTCCATGCCAAGGATGACATCTCTCGAGCAACGCTGTAGGACTACGAAGTCTGTAGGATAAATACGACCGTTAATGGTGACTCTCGCTGTGCAGATTCCTGCAGGCGTTACGAGATGACCTCCGGCTGTGCTGATTTCAGGGCCTTTCCAAGTTGTCCTAACTTTCTTTAACTTCGCGGCGAACGACCCACTCATGACAGAATAGTCGGCTCCAGTATCGACGAGAGCGGTCACACTGTGGCCGTCGATAAGAACGTCGAGGTCGCTAGTTCGCCGTCTTGCATTACAGTTAGGGCGTGGCGTCGGGTCACGGCTGCGTCGGCTTGTTCCGCTGATTCCATGTTGCGTCATCAGGCCACCTTCGGTAAGTGAGCTTTCGCCGTCAGGGCTTTGCCTGGTTGGCGTTGTGTTCGGAAAGCTCCGTCGCGGCTACGTCGTCGTCGGAGGATCTTCGGTAGTTCGTCGCACAGCAACCGCACCTCCACCGGTTGCTGCCCTTAGTTTCCCGGATACGGGCTAGGAGACCGGCCCCGCGTTGGGCCAGAGTACTGCCGGTGCTGCGGTGACGTGCGGCGGCTGGGCGACGGCGAACGCGAAGGGCTTCGTGGTGTTCACCGAGTTCCTGTCAGGTAGTCGGCGATGTCACGTGGTCGTTCTCCTGGCTGTGGACGCGGTGCATTGACAGCGAAGCCACGCAGTCCCATCTGTCGGTACTGGCAACGGCGGTATGTGTGTCCGGCCTCGCCGCAGTGGTAGCAGAGCGGGCGATGGTCAGGGGTACGCCAGACGTCAGTCTTCCTCGGTGCACTGCGCTAGGCCGCTGGAGAACGGTATGACGTCGGTGGGGTGGTGGCGGCGGTGGCGTCTGTCGACGGAAGTGCGATGGGGCAGCGTTTTGGCGTGGACGGGGAAGAGCGTTGTAGCGCAGTGCAGCAGCGTAGCTCATAGTTTCTGGCTCGGGCAGCGGTTTTGGGGGGATTCGGAGCGATTGCCAGACTTCTTCTCGCACAATGTCGGCGATCGAATCCACTTGAGGCTGCGCCGAAGGCAACAGCTTGCGCAGCTCTTTCCGCACGATCGCTCGGATCGTTTCACGCAGGTCTCCGGAGTTACTTTCTTGAGCAGCAGCGCAGTCTGCGGTCAGGCGACGATTATACTGTCTGGTGCGCATGTCCAGGGTCTTTTCGATAGTGGTCGCATCGGCTACAAATTCTTGGACGGTTTTCGGTGGGTTTCTCATCAGTCCCGCGAAGAGCTCCTGTTTGACCCCTCGCATGAGGAAACGAACTTTTTTCTCCTCAGGCATGTCTGGGTCAGCGTGACGGAATAGTTGGGTCATTTCTTCTGTGAAAATGGCGACATTTTCATTTGGCAGCTGAACCCGGGTCTCTAATAAAGCAGCGGCCCTCTTTTTGCGAGCGACGCTCGCGAACGTTTGCAGGAATGCGCCGCAGAAAACATCCCACGTTCGCAGCGTGGACTCCCGATTTTCGAGCCAGGTCCTTGCGGTGTCTTCCAAATAGAAGAACACACGACGCAGCTTTTTGTCATGGTCCCAGTGGTTGAGGGCGGCCACACGGTCGTATGTCTCTAGCCAGGACTCCGGGTCTTCGAACGATGACCCATGGAAAATTGGTGGTTCCCTAGGTTGATGCATGACCATCGTGGGCTGGGACGCTGCGGTTGTCATTGTCGCTGCAGTCGCGGTCATGGCCTTGGTCTTCCGCGGCTTGTCGTGTAGAAGCCCGTACTCCGGTGGTAGCCCTTTCTGTCGGCGGCTTGTTCGCTGCTCCTGGTTGGCGTCGGTGTCTTCTCCGCGACGTGGGCTGGGTTCACGGCTTGACGGGGGCGTCCGGTACATGAACGAAGCAGCACCTCCACCAAATGTCACGGGGTCGTGACGTGGCCGAAGACAGGAGACTTCTTGTTGGAATGTAACTGTTTATTTGGGCGAACCTGTGCCCGGTAAACAGAAAGTCCAATTACAGCAGCAGTCTCGCACAGATAGCAGTCTCAGACTGATAGCGGCGAACGGAGCGTCGGCCTTCGATCAACAACTGACAAGCGGCGAAGCGCGTCGGCATTTATACTCCCGCCGTCGAATGTTCTATAGCGTTATCGCTGGCGTAGGTTCCAGAACAATCTGTACCGTTCGCACAGTGGGCGTGATCTTATCGAAATGATCTACTACAGTCCGGAACCTTCTCGAAAACAGCAGGCGCGGTTTGCGCTGAGAATCGTGTGGTGTTTTGGGACGATAACAAAAACTCGGGAAATGGAACGTGGCAATATGAACTGGGATGTGGTATAGTGATTCGCGTACACGACTGCTGACCCAATGGTCACGAGTTCGAATCATGTGTGTTTGTCGTGAATTTTCTGTAGTCTATTTCTGAATTTACTTTTTTATGTATTGATTGTATATGTCGTCAAACGCATTCATCAACCTCCAAGTTCTTGGTAATTCAGCCAGAAATTGTAAAAAAAATATTTTTTTTGAGAAGGAGCAAATGATGGGACTAACAGTTCTTTCCTATACAGTCAGTTGCTCCAACACAGGGTTAACCTTTACTCCTTGACATTTCGTCCCTCAGCCTACTGATGACTAAACAGTTCATCCCCTGACAGTTACTCCCGAAAGGACGAATCGTTCATTCTTTGGGGAGTAATGGTTGTGGCAATGGTCAAAGCAGTGAAGAGGAAACTTGGGATAGACAGAAATCGGATGTCTGCACTAAAAGACAAAGAAGGCAAAATAACTACCAATATGGATAGGATACTTAAAATAGCTGAGGAGTTTTACCTGTACAGTAACCATGACAAACCCGACCTTAATAATATAAGAACTAGCAGTAACGCAGATGACACACCACCAGTAATGATAGAAGAAGTCAGAAAAGCCTTGGAGAGCACGCAAACAGGTAATACTGCTGGTGAGGACAAGGTAACATCAGATCTGCCGAAAGATGTAGGACACATTGTGCTAGAAAAACTAGCCACCCTGTTTACAGGGTGCCTCCTGACGGTAAGAGTACTAGAGTCTTGGAAGAATGCTAACATCATTTTAATACACAAGAAAGGAGTAGACAAGGACTTGAATAATTACAGGACGATCAGCTTGATCTCCGTAGTATACAAACTATTTACAAAGGTAATTGCTAACAGAGTTAAGAAAACATTAGAATTCAATCAACCAAAGGAACAAGCAGGATTTAGAACAGGCTACTCAACAATCGACCACATTCATACTATCAGTCAGGTAATACTGACCACATTCATACTATCAATCAGGGGGTGGCGGCGGCAATGCAGTTACCCCCCAAAAGGACGAACCACACACCCGTTTTCGTGTCCTTTGCGGCCCAGAGTGCTTGGCATAGGAAGCGCAAGTTGACCATCTGCCTGCCAGGATTCCTAGTCCTTATGTTCCAGTTAAAAGTGGCTTCGAACGACAGTTGAACAGCTCGTGATTCAGCGCAAACAGGTGTACTACAGCTTCTCACCGGTTCACAGTGACGTAGCCAGGAGGTAGCAGCGCAGTACAACTTCATTCGCCACAATATAAATTTATTCACGATATTGTTTGAACGACGAATAATGTCTTCATGTGATTTATCAAGTCAAAAACTACAGATCGAGGAAAACATTATCATCATCATCGTTGTTTAGCGACTTAAGGCAAAAATTGGCGACCTTTCTAAAGCATCCTGGCGAGCTTGCCAAAAAAAAAAAAGTTAACCCCACTGGGACAGGAATCACAGCAGCGCTCAAACAGCAGACAACTTTTAAGAACAGAGCCGACAGCAGACCAGTGAGAGAATTCAAACGAAAACATCTCTTTTGCTTTTCTCCTGCGTATAGACCTCAATTTTTTCTTTACTTTAACCGCCAGCTTTTTGGCCAATTTCTCCGGTGGGTAAGAGCCAGAACACAGGTACATGCAAGCAAGCGAAGCATGTTTGCTTGCTTGCTTGATCCTTTCCTTTGTTGCTTTCACCCACTAAGGTGGATTGGCCGAGAAGCTGGCGGTTAATGCAAGTCAATACCTTTACATTATTCAGACTAGGGAAAACATGTACCACGCTATTTGTTTGTTTGTCTCCCTGGACTCATGGCTCACACCCACTCAGGGGGATTTGTCAAGAAAGCGTAGTGCATTTTTACTGTGAGCATTATAACTATGTGTAATGAAGTTGTTTTATAATATGACTCATGTAAGGAAAGCCACACAAAGAAGAGCAAACGAAAAAAGAAAAAATGGAAAAGTCAAGTTGAGACATTTTGAGATTTCAGGTGTTGCGATTACCACTCAGCTGCGTTTACTTCACCTCACCATTTAGAATTTTTCGAGTAATAAATAGTAATTGTTTGATTGAAGATGTCAAAGGTATATGTGGTCAATGTCCCCAAACTGAGGCACCCAAGCTTAGTGCAGTTTCCGCCGTCCATCTAACGCCTATTTTCAGAAATGCAATAACTAGAAGCCTTCTTCTAAGTATATCGTATCGGCAACAATACAAAAAATAATGTTCTATTGATTCCATTTCTCCGCAGAATGCGCAGAGGGGTGATATTGTCTGACCAGCCCTGTGTAGGTACAGGTTTAGGGGGAGGGGACATACGCATCGGAATTTAGTAATTAAAACCTAGAGCTTTCTGAAATGGCTCCAGTGGGGTCACCGTGGAAACCTGCCACGCTTAACGTCTTCTTTGTCAATCACCGCAGGCGCTCGTGACCTTGCCGCGACCACCATATCTTCTTAAGACCACTCTTCGGTGCGGGAAAAGCTCGATGGTAATGGCTACTGTGCTGCAACGTTTCTTGGACATGTACAAAGCCGAGCAACCGACGCCGCAGTGTGTGCAGAGGATACAGCGTGACCTGGCAGAGCTGCACTCCGACCCTGCGTCATGCGTATTCGCGGCGCCCGAAGAGAACGACATTACTGTGATGCACGCCGTCATCGTGGGTTCCTGGGACTCTCCTCTCGAAGGCGGCCTGTTCCACTTGGTGCTCAAGTGCCCCCCAGACTACCCGATACGACCACCTCACGCGTTCTTCTTGACCGGAGCACAGAGCGGTGTGTCGTTCAACAGCCACATCTACGGAGGGCGCATTTGCCTCGACACACTTGGACTGGCTTGGAGCCCGGCTCAGACCGTCGGTAGCCTGCTGGTGTCCATACTGTCCTTGTTGTCCGACGGCGCCGAGGAGCGAATGCGCCACAACACGCTCAGCATCGCGATATGCGACACGCTCGAAGGCTGCCTGAAGGTACCGCCACCCTCGGATGCGATGCCACCGCCTTTGAAAAAGCAGGCCCTCAAGTACTTCGTCGACAACTACGCCAAGTACGAGGACTCCGTCAAGGCGCAGATCGGCTCCTCCTCGGGAATTTTCTCGTGGATAACGGGCAAGAGCGACTACGAGTCGCTCCTCCAGCGTCTTCGCGACATCAAAAAGAAGGTCGACGAAAAGAAGGAGGCTGATGGACAGCAAAATAACGAGTGAAGTTGTCTTTTCTGGCAACGGCGAAGAGCAGAGAGGCATGACGCAATCGTGGAACTGTCGCCAACTCTGCACGGTGACCACTGAACGCAAAATTATGCTTTTAAAAATTTTGGCAGGGAACGTATATAACGAAGATTTGATATTTGCTAGTGCATTAAAAAGCAGAAATTTTCTTCAAGTGTAAAACAATGACTCATACTTGTTTATATGCTTTTTGCTTTTTTGTGTCTACAGATCGCAAATTTTACGTGCAGGGGTGATGTTTTAGCACGAATTTACGTTTACCTATTGTCTCTGAGTTGAAATATGAAGAGCCAGATGGGTGTATGTGTCCACAATATTTTCATTAGGCATAATGAGACACATGCATATGTAGTAGCCAAATTCTTTTCTCTTTCTTTAAGTGCATGCCTTTGCTCCTGAACATGAAAAAAGAGATACTAAACATGTAGAAGTGATGTATGCACAGACGTGTTGAACAGCCGCGTGTTACACATTGCACCGTCTTATAAAAAACGGATTTTGTTATTTTCAAAAATTCCTTCAAATACTCTGTTTGTGAAAATAATGTTAACTGAGTTGTCTGCAGAAACCCACAGCACTGGTGGAAGTAATATGATTCGACAATTTTTTTATAAAAAAGCAGCAGATCCCATGTACCTTAGGAATCGATTTTATGCGAAGCATGCAGAGGGAAAATGACTGTGTTATAATTTTTTAGCGAAACGTTACGAAATCCCGCTAAACATGCGTACAAATGCTGTTCGCACAGACACGTTGAAAAATCGCATGTGTTTTATATAACCAGCTGTTTACAGTTGCGCAACAATGCAAACAACAGGGGTATTAGCAACACCAAAGGTGGTATAAGCTGACATGTAGCCCTTGAGCTCGCGAAGGTGGTAGACCTTGACAATGCTACATAAGTCAACGTCCGTGGATAGCGCTTAACCACGATTGACGTTAACGATGTGACGCCCATGCAATAGGAGTACATTTGTGATGTTTATATAACTAGGTAGCCAACTGTCACAAAACGAGCGCTCAAAAAGGGCGCGCCGCCGAATTCTCGCGACGAATGCCGGAGTGACGCCGCGAGGTCAACGATAAAAAAAAGAAAACAAACATCTAAAGACTCCCGGGCGCGCGACTCTCTCCCTTGGAAGCGTGGGTTCGCCGACGAACCTCCTCACCCCACATCGGCGCCCGAGCAAGCCCTCGAATGGAAAGGGGCGAGATGGAAAGGGGCGGGGTGATGCCGGGTTGAGTCATCCGTCGCGGACGGCCTTCGAGCCGTCTCCCCAGCCTTCGCTGCGTATCGCGCCGACGAAATGACGAGAACTTTCTGGAATCTCGCGCGGAAGGTATTTAACCGAGCAGCGGAGATGGGAAAGCAGGAGAAGACGGAAGTTAGCGCCAGAGCGCGTAGGGATTCCACCGTGTAGTCGGCGAAGGTTTTGTCGGTAGGGACAAAGCAGGAGAAGGAGAGGATTTCCACCTGAGGGGTGAAGGCTCGAGCTACAGGCCAGAGCGTGTGTCTACCGCTATCAAGCGAAGACGCGTGGCAACAGCTGCGTGTGTGAAGCCGACGTGTTTCCGGCGAAGAAGTTTCAAGCTTGGAGAGTGGCCAATTGAAGACGCGAGGTTTGCTGGAAGAGAAGCTTCGGCGAGGTTTTCTGGAAGAAAAACTTCGGGGGCAGCGGAACGACAACAACGCTGGACTTTGAGTGAGTGATTCTCGGAAGAGTATCATCCAGACTTTTGTTCCAATGACTTTGGGCTGAATAGGTTTTCTATCTCTTTAGTCTTTAAGTGTCTTGGTTGTTCAATGCATGCGACTGACTGCATTGCAGTGCGTATTGTTGTCTGTGTCCGTTATTTCGAGTGTGGCTGATTGTACTGTGTAGTACGTTGTTTGATTGGTGACATATTGTACTCAACTATTGTGGAGTGTGCTTACTTGTGTATTGTTTTGATTTGCCATTATTGAGAATAGAATTTTGTTGTGTTTATCAACTCTCACCTCTGACTTGTTCTTTGGGCCACAGCCGGCGTCCGCTGGCGCGACAAATAGTGCCACTTCTAAATTGTCCACGCTTTCGTGGTGTGGTTCAGGAGGGCCGTTACTTCGGTCCTTGGATTTAGCCCGGCGATCGCCTCCCTAATTAACGGGACCTGTGACACCAACGCTGTAGCCAACATACAAGTATCACCAACATTACGCCTGCAAATGGTCCTTTTTCCAAAGCAGTTTCGAGCAATGGCGTAACTGTGAGGTAGAATGCGTTATTTCCACGCAGATTGCTTGGCTTCGATGCCTACTCGGGCCCTGACATTTATTCTTTGCATTCTTCCGGTCAACGCTGCCTATGTCAGTTTTTTTTCTTAATGCTCTTGCGTAAAATTACCACCATCTCATCTCACCATTCCTGGGGTGCTATAAACTGCCATTCGCATGTGGCGCATGTCCGCATACCGCTGCCAGTTGTATACGAGTATGTGCCACACCTATATGGAAGAAAGAGTTTGACAATGTACGTGGCGGTATTTTCCCGTTATTAAAATCACGACCAGCCAGACATATTTGTCAAACCTTCTTACTATAGCATATTAATTAGGTCTATCCCACGTTGAGGAGGGGTGTCACAGGAGTGCCAATAGGAAGTGGTTAGATAGATAAGTAAGTATAGATAAAAACGCTCAAAATGCCTGCATTTCACTCAGAAGTGCTTCCTATTTGAAAAATGTTTTATTGTTCATTGTTCCTTCTTCCTTTGGCTTCTAGCAAGTTATGTGCAGAGGAAAATACGTTTGGCGCAGCCATTCCAATCTTAGCACATCCCCTGTAGTGTACATATGCCATCTTTAACTCCTTCTGGTCAATCCCCGCGGCAGCTCGCGACCTTGCCACCACCACTATATCTTCTCAAGACCCCTCCTTGTCGCCCGAAAAACTCGATCGAAATGGTAAACTTGCTGCAAGATTTCTTGGGCAGATACAAAGCCGAGCAACCGACACAGCCGTGCCTGCAGACAATACACCGTGACCTGGCAGAATTGCAGGCCGACCCTTCGCCTGGCGTGTTCGTGGCTCCAGAAGAGAACGACATGACCGTGGTTCATGCCGTCATCATTGGTTCCTGGGACACTCCCCTCGAAGGTGGCCTCTTCCACTTGGTGCTCAAGTGTCCCCACGACTGCACCAAATGACCGCCTTACGCATTATTTTTGACCGGTGCCCAGGCCGGGGTGTCGTTTAATGGCCACATCGGAAGAGGGTTTATTTGCCTCGGCACCCTAGGCACGGCTGGCTTCACGATGTCAAGAAGAAGATTGACGAAAAGAAGGCGTCCGGTGTACAGCACAATGACGAGTGACGATCTTTTTGCCGGCAGCGACGCAGAGAAGACTGGCATTACGTGGTTGAGGAAGAAAGATCAACTCTGGATGGGGGCCATCTAAACGCAAAATTAGGTATTTAACATGCCTGATAGGAGGGTGTATATACGTTAAATCAGGCAGCTACTGTAAAGTGCTATAAAATGCAGAGATTCGAACGGAATACAACTCTTCACGTTATACATAGTTCCTGCTAGGCGATTTTGCCAAGTCATTACTTTGTCTACTCATCGAATCTTTTGCGACAATGTGGATAGTGGCGTCGTTACTTCGTGTAGTGCGCGAGTGTTTCTGTGTATTTTCTGGTTAACTCCCTTTCTGCGTTTTTGGAGTCTGAATATTGCTGCGAAATAGCCCGGTGTGTATGCTCTCGGGCTCTGACATGCGCCGATTGGTTTCTCACGAAACATTCATACTGCGGTGTCCAAAGGGTTCTCGCGTCTTCAGTCACACCCTGTAGGTGAACTTGCAAGGATTGCTTGCCAATTGATCATTTTAGAAATCTCCCACGTGATTCTTGCGAATCCATTCGAATGGTTACTGAAGATGGTGTACTGATTACTACGGTAACATCCAGTTCTCCCGTGACAGTTGCATCATTTGCATAAGACGGAACATCCACGAGCTCTCTACCTGTTTCTTTCGCCACGCCGGCTACATATTTGTTTACTCCTGAATATTTAGCATGCATCCATGTGTCGCACGATCTCATCATTGTTATAGCTCAGCTAGCATCTGGTATGATGATAGTGGTCGTGTTTTTTTTTATTCATTAGTCATGCTCGCGGTGCATGTTCCAATACGGTTTACAGTCGTGAATTTTGTTCTTCATTACGCGGGGCATAAACTGTGTCAGGCGTGATTCTCCTCCGGCAGCTTAGCCGAGATTCTAAGTGCTGTACTATTTACCTAATCTTTTATAATTGAATACAACTCAAGAAACCCAGGGGCCCTCGCCCAGACGACCCGAGCATGGACACCAATCTGCCTCGCTATTAAAAAAAAATACTTGGCCCTGCTCGCGCACTCCGCCTTGTATTCCGATGACGATGTCACCGACCACCCAGCTCATGACGTCAGCGCAAGCATCCGAGTTCGAAGAGGAAATGCCGAGGACATTTAAAGTTGTATCCGACTATAGCTGGTTCACTTTTTGGTATTCTATTAGCTCTTCCCAAGTATTATGAACCTTTGTCTTGTGGAGCTTTGTCGTAGATGTGCTGAGTGCGTGTTCCATGGCTATTTTATAAACCGCGCGGGTGAGAATGTTCGCCTTGTTACGCTGGCCGTTCTTCATGTCGACGCGAGGAGTCTCATAAGTCACGGTGCTTCTGGGTAACGCTTGAATCATAGTTATGCAATTCTTCGCTTTTAGTTCATGGCGTTTGCTTACAACTTGATGTATGATATGCGTTATTCGCGGTGGAGTGTACCTTTTCCAGCTACACTCTATCAGTTTAGTCATTTACAGCGACTGCTGTGTACGGCTAGGAGAAACGAAAAAGCGTTCGTCATCGGTGTTACAACAACAGCGGAAGTGGAGCGCCAACAGTGGAAACGTGAGAAAGGTCGCATTCGCAGGGTCGATGGTGCAGTCCGAA